GTTCACCCTCCCATAAAAAGTTATCACTTCAAAAAGTATTCGAAAAATGATGAGTTTTTAAATAAAAATCCTTCCTCACTTTTTTATCTCTCTGTTGCAGTAACACTTACACGCGCCCCCAAATGCCTCTATCATGATACCAAAACAAGTCCAGAACTTGCACAATCAGTTTAACTTTTTTAGTTTAACAGTTTAACAAACTAAAACGCAGAAATAACAGTATTTACAAGGAGATTTTCCAGCCTCCTCAATGCATTTAGGCTTGGTAAAAATGAAAATCACGCAAGTCCTCCGCCCAATCTAAACAAGGTTCGAGCCTCATCAACAAGTTAACACGCTAATTAAGCCGATTTAAACCGAATCACGTCCGTTCATGTCAAACTGTTAGATATAAATACGGCCAGATACCGGCCGATGGTTATCAGTCGTTGGTTCGATATCGGCAAAGACCCACAAAGCCCGAGACCGAAAACGAAAAAAATGAAGGTACGTACGCAAAGAACCTTTTTCCAATAGAGGCTTAAATAATTCGGTGCGACACGCCAGAAACTATTTCGGAACAATGTCGGAAAAACATGCGTCAGCCGACGCTGATAAATGGGCTGTGTATGATCTAGTTGACGTACGTTCATTTGCTTTTTTAGCTTTTCATCATTGTCTTTCATTGCATTTATTTGCAAAGGCTTTCATTGAATTGTGCGCGAATGTTTCTGTCCACTGTACCCTTTAATATCCGCTCACATAACATCACTCCAAATGGATCCACTTAAACAACCATCATTCACGCCAATATGTTCTTCCAGTGCTCCATCGCAGTGCTCTTGGTGATTGTCGCTCTATCTTCGGCGGAGCCCCAAAGAAATGGCCGTGTTCAAGCCCAGCCACCTTATCAGCCCAGAGGGTTCCGTCCAGCAGGCCCAGCTTTCAGCCTGCCTTTAAAGTGAGACTTGATCACCAAAATCGAGACAATCGAGAGTAAACTTGGGATTGCAGATCGCAGCAGCAGCAGCTGCCTCCTACGCCTGCAGCCTCCTACGGGCCTCCTACTCAGGAATACGGACCGCCCGCTGAAGAAGCGACCACCACTGAAGCAGCCCCCACCACCACCACTGAAACCATTGAAACCACCACTCTGGAACAGCAGGTATGAAGTTTGGTGCCCATGCAGAAAGGGAGTTGATTCCGGAAGGTTCCATATTCCAGGCTGAAAACTTCCGAGTGGCCCCAGTGAGCCAGAAGCTGCAAGAAGCGCCAGCCAATCCGGCTGGATTATACGTGGTGGTGCCACAAGCGGACAGTTTCTTCTACGCCCCAATCCAAGGAGCGTCCGCCAAGCTGGTGGCGCAGCCCCAACAGCCCCGGCTGGTCCCCGTTCAGGCTGTGCCAGCTTTTGCGAAAATCCAAGAAGTTCCTCGGTTTGCCCAAATAGTTGACTATCAGGGGGTGGCTTCAGGGGCCGCTCTTCCGGTTGTTTCATCAGCATACACTTCGATTGTTAACACTCCCTACAGCTCCAGCTTCGTCCAAAGTTTCCAATAGTAGGGAGATGAGTTGACTTTTTAGTAGTTATGTTTATTTGCATCCAGTTTATATATAAATTATTTATTGTCGTTTTCTGTTTGTTTATAACGCCCCCTGCTGGTTCAGCGCAAGTGGAAACAAAAGCCTCCAGATGCAGCGGAATGAGAATTGAACAGAGTGRAARATGTCGGTTTTACCRMAGATTCTGAATGRTTATTCCACTCATACATATGTATAGTCTGTCCCAAGAGTTTTGGMAGTGACGCAATAATTGTCGTCCTTTTTCGMTTGCTTGGATTAATTGGAAACWAAAAAGACAAAGAAGCTGTATGWATGTAGTWAARAATCGGTTGCAGGTCAAATTTKGAGGAAAATMKAAAAAATTCCCCATAATTTGACGCACTTTAATGCCCACAGTTGCTCCATTTGKAGTAAATTAATAACGAAACTAAAAAAGGGAATTATTTTCCCAATTAATCGTTAACATTCCACAAATTTAACATCACGTTTGCAACTTCAAATCATTTAAATCCCATGTTGTCGATTGCTCTCGTTAAACGTGAACGTGGGGGTTTTACGCTCAAGYTGGCAAACGCACAATATGAAATGAAAMTATGAAATATGAAAACTTTTGAACTCGTCGCTGACGAGCAAATTTCAATATGACGTCACTGCCAAATAAGTTGGGACAAACTGTAGATATTCAAAAAAATSAGGCAATAGGTAGGTASAATTCTTCAAATATTTAGTTTATTYAGTTTTTTATTTTAGATAATTAATGAAGACCATTCAAAYGAKATTTTAGWGGATATTTTTTWAAACCGCRAGCAAAGGAGTTAACGGAAACCAGCTAGAATATTGAATAAAAGCGATGTAAAATAGAAAAAATTRTATTKTWTTTTAATTAAATTTGCATATTCGAACAGTTTACGAGGGATTTAATTTTAATTCACTTGAAAACTAAGTATAAATGCGAAAAATATTGTAATTTTTAACTTTTTTGGCCCCTGCATTTGGAAAAATKTTCACTTTTTGAAGSGASAAAATAGGTTMAATTATCATGTTTTTSTGAAGGAAAAACATGAATAGAGAAATGAAAGAAGAAAAAATTACGCAACTTTTATGCAGATCGGAACAAGTGCCCAGAATCCTGGATAAGATCTAAAGGGGAAACGAACTAATTGCRATATGAAAATTGGAGACAAGAAGAAACAAAGAAGCTGTAAATGCAGTTAAAATTRATTCAACAAAAAYTACTTACTAGAACCAGTAACTTWTGAATAACGAGTAGAAATTTCCATCAATCAAAGATGCTTCTGGCAAAGGAGAGGACAGTCATGCAAAAAAACACATCCACAAACAGCGATTAAAACAGAAAATAAGACACAAGAATGAGAATCGTTTGCAAACTGGAGCTTGCAAAAAACCGCAGATAAATCTAACAAAAGCATTGGAGAAAGTTGCGGGGAAAAAAATATCAAAAGGAAGAAACTACGAAAATCGAACTACTACGAACAGAAAATAAAACACAACAAGGGGAATCATTTGCAATCTGCCGCTTGGAGAAAACCGCAGATGAATCTATCAAAAGTATTGAAGAAAGCTGCTGGCAAGAAAAATATCCAAATGAAAAAACTAAAAAAATTCAACTACTCGACAAAACACCGCCATAAAGAACGATTAAAACAGAAAATAAAACACAACACGGGGAATCATTTGCAATCTGCCGCTTGGAGA